TCTCTGTTAACTGAATTCAACCTTTTATTGTCTCATTTTAATGCTTTAATTAATTACTTTATTTATTCATTGATTTAAAACACTTTTATAGCATGTGTGATGTGCCAAGGACTCTTCTAAGTCCTTTGCAAACATTAACACAGTAAATCTTTATCACAATCCTACAAGGCCAGTGTTATTAACATCCACATTTTGCAGATTAGGAAACTGAGGCACTGGGCAGTGAGATATTTCACCCATGATCATACAACTAGTAGGTGAATTGGTCAAACTTTTTTTGTGTGTGTAGACAGCTATCAACGTAAGTCTAAGGACAAACATAAACCTAGCGGAAAAATTCCATCTGTCATTTACAAAATCTTGATTGAACGTCAGAATAGACAATGAGAAAGTTAAGTTGCTAGAATAAATCTGAAGACAAAGACTTAGCAGACATTTGTTTAGAGTATTCTACCCTGAAGAGTTGCCTTTCTGACATTTGCATTTTTTCCATTACAATTCTATTTTGTTTTGTTTTACTTTATTTTATTTTGGTGGCAGTAGGTGCACATTTTTTAAAACTTTTTTTCCCCCAAAGAAAGACATTATTCCTGTAGATGTTTCATTTTCAGTGATTCACTTGTTCTCACTCACCTACACTCCCACAGCAGTAAAACTAAAGCAAGGCTCAGACAGCTAATCTTCTGCACTCAGTGACACAAGCCAGACAGATGAATATTTCAGAGTTCATATTTTCTCTAGGGTTTGTAGACTTCTCTTTCTATTCAGACTCTTATGAATGTCTTCTTGCCTTTCCTTCACCAAAGCCTGCTGCTGGGGCCAGGCTGGAACATGCCCTGGAACCTGGCATGGTGCCACGTTGGTATTGACTTCCTGATCTGTCTTCTGACATACATACCGCCGAGACCTGAAAAAGCAGATCAGCTATTCATTAGACTGCGTTCTAGGTACGAGGCACCATGGGGTGTGGAGAGGACTGAGGTGTCAGAAGGACCCAGCTTCTCATCTAGGCTCCCGCTTTACTCCCGTGGTGATTGTGGGCAAACTGTTCAAATTCCCTGAGACCCTGTGTCCTCATCTCCAAAATAATAGGAACAAAGCCAGCACAGAGACTCTGGGCTTGTTTTGAGATTAAGATAATGCATTTGAAATTGCCTTGGAACTCTTAAATGATTACACAGATAGAGGTGTTATTATTGCCACTGAGTAATATAAAACACCTAGATAGGTTCATCAACTTTAGTACTGATGATACCCTGAGGCGTTAATACAGGCAATTCTTCGCCTTTGTCTTTCCCCTTAGCACCTTTCTAATAGGAAGTGCTTCAGACATTAGAAACATGGCTTAATGAAAACTGAGGGGAGGGGCAGCCTTAATGAAGAATTTAATAATGGCTGATTGATTTAGTGACAAAGGGAAATTGCTTGCTGTTGTGCTGTTCAGTGTGATGCCAAGATGCCAGTTTTTCCTTGTCAGGCTGGAAGAAAAGATTGGGAAGTAGGAAGGTAATGACTTGTTTGTGATTTAGTTTGCTCTTTGCACCGATTGTAAGTTGTAGAGGATGCCCCAGGAGAGCACAGGCCAGTCAGCCCCCCAAATCCTTGTGTGGTCTGAGGCAGGAGAACACGCTTCCTTGGTCTTGATTGTACAGGTAGTAAATAGGAGATATAGGTGTCAGTCTTCTCCATACAGTTTTTACATATTATAGCAGCTCTGCTGTCTTTCAAGAGCCATGGTCTGTATAGCTTGGTGTCCCAGTTGTAAAATCCCTTTCTGGTGTTATTATTTCTTCTTACTACATGCTATGCATCATCCTCTCCAAGTTGATTTCAGATTCAGGATTTACTTAATGCTGTTTTGGAAAGCACAATTCAGAGTCAAGAGCTGCATTAATGTGCTAGTTTGTTATTTATGGCTTTCTTCCAACATACGAGGGAAGAAGAAAAATGGTGGAGCTCCTGTTGTTGGGATGTAAACCTCACACATGAACATATTTATTGCAGTGACCTCAGATTTGTAGAGTACAACAGCTAAACATAATTTCAAAGAGAGGGATGAAGGTAGGATTCCTGAAGATATAAAATCCCTCATTTCTTTGGAAGATATTTTACAGACTTTGGCAAGATCTCATGTAATAAGATTCTGCTTATGAATAGCCTGCTGAGCTGTTAATGGTAGTAATGTGACATGTTTGACAACAGAGGACTGGCGTGTCAAGAGTGGTTTTGACCTGCCCTTTGAATACAGTTAGCTAAGATGTTTTAATGTTTCTTTTCTTTGATTTAGACATATAGTGATTTAGATAAAGATCATTTGATTCTCTTTTTGAAGCAAGATATTAAATTTAAAAACTTGATGAAATTTACTCTTGAAAACTTTGCAAACATGATTTTCTTCATTGCTGATAATAGGATTTGCCTTGTTTTATTTCCTTTGGAATAACAATATATGCGTAAATTTTTCTCTTGACTTGGCCTCAGTTTTGGAAAACCATACTCAAAGTGTGTTATTTGAAACAAAATGCCTCTTGAATTCTGCCTTCACTGGTGCTATGGTTTATTCTCACTGAAAATAATACATCATCCTTCCAAAGCTGATTTCAGATTCAAGTGTTACTTAATGCTATTTTGGTATTAATGCTATTTGGTATTTCTATAGGTAGCATAAGGATGATCATAACGGAGATAGATTCTAAATTGGGCTTTTCTAATTAAAAATACTTTAGCATGATATTATGATGAATTTCAGGAATTAAAATGAACATATATTTTAAATGGTGCTCTAAGCCTAAACCAGAAATATAACCTTTTTCCTTTATCTTTCCAGTCTGTGTAGGTCTATAGACTTTTTGTCATAACACTAAGTTAGGCCATTATATTTATAAAGGAGATAGGCCAGCCATGGCGTGACAAATAAAGGTATTCAGCCGTACATATTTCATAGATTTAAAGACAAATAGGTAACAGAGCTCTACATAAAGTTTTATTGTCTTATGTATTCAGGAAGTATTTTGAGATGTTATATCCTTAGGCCTATAAAAAGCCTGTATACTTTCCAAAGATTTAAAAATAATTTTTTGATCCTCGCCTTTTATAAGAATAAGTTGTCTAAAGATCATCAATAATTTTTAAGTGTAAACAGCCTTCAGTTCTGATTATATCCTGCCTAGTACACTATGTCTATGGTTACCATTACAATAAAAAGCATGCTCTGTATGTATTCCAACCAACATTTACTGAGCACTTTCTGTACACCTAGCACTATGGAAGTGCTTTCACCTGCATCATGTCTTTGACTTTCCTCTCCTCCCCCCTTCCCCCACCCCACCATCACCAGTGAGATATAGTAAGATAATAATAGGTACTTCCATTTTTCATATTAGGGAACTGAGGCTCAGAATTACAGATCAATGACATGTCCTGGACCACGCAGCTAATGAGGGACAGGGAAGGAATTCCATCCTGAAGTCTTCTGACACCATGCTTGATTAATGTTGGGATCCCAAAGGGATTCTATTCCAAACTACTGATTTTACAGATGAGGAAATGATACCCAAAGCAAGTGAAAAATCACCTGAAGTTCCTTCTGAATTACTATGCTTTCTCCATTTGCCTCCAAATGTTTTTAGAAGTAAAGATAGAACTACTCCCTCATATGTACTCACCGTCTCATACTGTCTTCCTGGAGAGCCCATTACTTCCACTCACCTAATCCAGCAATCCTCTTCATCTCACTTGTTTCCTGAGGTCAAGATTTATTTCTCTAGCTTTTCCTAGACATGTCCACCTGAATATATGAGGGGAGAAAACTTAAAATGCAGGCTGCTCAAAAATTGAAATTGTTAACATTTTCATAAATTCAGTGATTCCTCTTGAAATGCTGGGATTGCCTTCTTGAATAATTATCTCATTTTCTTCTCAGCTCTGATTACATTACCCTTTCACTTACTTGAACTTAAGATCTGTATGTTTTTGACTCTGGAATTTTCACCCTTGAGCTTTCTCCTGAGTTTAGGATCTACTTTTTCAGATATTTACTTGATATATCTTTCTGAGTGTACCACATATTTCTCATACAATGGGTTTTATTCTAAACTCTACATTTCCAACTATCCCCAAAGGTATCCTCTTCTTGCATTATTGATTTTGATTAAAGATTTTACCATTTACTCAGGCTCTGAGGCTAGAAAATCTTTGTGTGTGTCATCTTTTACTCTTCCTTTAATCTTAGTCTCGGCATCTAATCAAGTATCAAATTTTAACAAGTTCATCTCTAAAATACTTCTCAAATTTGCCTTTTTTTTTTTTTTGCTCTTCTTTCTGCTGCCTTCACTGAGGCTGTGTCTTACTCCACAATTAGTGTTCTTGTGCTCTAGTCTACTCCCATTTTACAGCAACATAAAGAGCATTCATTGGGTTCTTCCAATGTGCCAGGCACTGTGCTAAGTGCAAGGCTGAAAAAGATCAAGACTCAATCACCTTTCTTTTCTTGCAGCTTTATGACATAAACTCAGTACAAGTAATTAAAATCTGTTGACAGGTTTAGACCCTAGTGTTATTTAACCCTAGTGTTCTTGTTTATTGGTGAAATTTCTTCAAATCTCATTTTTTTTAAATTTTGGAAATATGAAGGTACAAGTGTTAGAATTACTGAGAGTGTTCCTGAGCTGCTTAAAAAACTACCATGCCTAGTTTTCAGGATAGTCAAAATGAGATTTTAGAAAATCATAGGAAGGCCTGGAAGTAAAGAAATGGTTGTAAAATATGCAACAGTGTATGTTTTCAAAAACTTTTAGTTTGGTTTGGTAGAATACATGTTAAATTCTAATATGTCCCCTGAGTGCAGTAAATAAATGTCCTCTTAGGAGAAGATTTTTAAATAAAATAATCTTAAGACTCCTGAGGTATCTTAAAGGAAATTTACAGCGTGGTAAACACTATCTATAGTTTTGGTGAAAGTGGTTGTCAAATTTAATGCAGTACATTTCTATTGCTGATAGGTACACACTGGTGGATATTTTGCGTGCCATCTTACTTTCTTTAGAAGCTATGATTGAAGATCCTGAGCTTCAAGTGAATGGATTTGTTTTGATCATAGACTGGAGTAACTTCACCTTCAAGCAAGCCTCCAAACTTACACCAAGCATGCTGCGACTGGCTATTGAAGGCCTTCAGGTAAAGATTTATAAATTACCCAGTTTCTCAGTCTTTCACGTTTGATTTCTCTCATCTGATGTGTTAGAATGACGAAATGTCTTACTTACAGAATAATAAAAGGGGGAGCCTGGGTGGCTCAGTTGGTTGAGCGTCCAACTTCAGCTCAGTCATGATCTCGCAGTTAGTGAGTTCGAGCCCTGCGTCGGGCTCTGTGCTGACAGCTCAGAGCGTGGAGTCTCCTTTGGATTCTGTGTCTCCATCTCTCTCCACCCCTCCCCTGCTCACACTCTGTCTCTGTCTCTCTCAAAAATGAATAAACCTAAAAAAAAAATTAAAAATAAAAAAATTTAAAAAAAGAATAATAAAAACATTTTTTAAAAAATAGTTTTTAAGCACAAGCACTAAAACCATAACTGGACAAAGGATTATAGAAGGAAAGTTGAAAGATGTGGCCTTTTTGTAGATGGGAGTTTGTAATACTGAGTGCAAATCTTACTACATCTAAACATAAATGTGGGTGCCAATTGGAGATTTTTATCTTGAGAAGCAGAACAAAGAGCACGTTTTCGATTTTAATTATTAGCTATTTAGCTTTCTTGTTTTGTTTCTCTTTCTTTTTCTGTGTGTATTAATTAATTAGGTAACTATTTGCTTTACTACTCAATTTAACCTGATGAATTGAGGATATGATTATTAATACCTTCGTGTTGCCCAAAAAGCTGTTAGAAAGGCAATCGGTCAGTATGTATTTTGATATCTAAGATTTGGAATAACTGTTTTGAATTACTTCTCTAGACTTAATTGGGGATTTTCTTGTTGCTGCTGCTGCTACTGCTGTTGTTGTTGATGCTGTTTTTGGTGGAAAGCCTATCACATAGAATTTATATAGGAATGGTGCTTCTTCCAGGGAATGACACTTACCTGGTTAGGAATTATAAAATGGAAAATCAATTATTAATTAGCGACATGTCATAAACCTACTACTGATAATTTCTTTTTAACTTTTAGGATGTCCTTCTGCTCTCTGTAGTTCGCTTTATGGTACTTTGTATACAATATTTATGGGATAAATTTTAAATTCCTAAAAAAGATTTGAGAAGTTACTCTTCAGTGATATTATTTACTGTTTACTTTCCGTGTATTCAACATGCATTTTAGAGGTTTGCAAGTCAACAGTCAATTTTTGTAACTTTTACCACTGAAAATACCACTCGTTTTAAAATAACTAATTATATCTTTGTCATTCATTAGGCTGGAAGGTCAGACTTTATTTTTTTATGTTGAATAGCCAAAATCATGCAGACCTCTGCTCCATAGGAATTTCTGACTGTGTCTGTAGGCACCTAAACTGATGGCTGATGACTCAATAAAAAGGGTCCTCTTCTCCGGGCAGCAGGACATCATCACCAAATTGAATTCACAGTTTGGATGTTGCCTCTGAAGTGAATGAGACACACTGGTCCTTTTGCTCTATATAGGTTTTTCCTGATGCAGGTTTCCTACTTGCTCTTGGTGAGTCAGACTTGCTGCTGCCTTTTCTTCAACAACACCTTTTTTAAAACTCCACAGAGATAGATAATAGGTGTTGGGAGAGGACATAGGATAAGCATGTTTGGAAATGTGTATATCATGTAAAATCACTCCTGATTCTACCCTGTTGTCAGCAGTGTGTAAAGTGTCCTTCGCTTTGCGGGGTGCTTGGGTGACCCAGTCCGATAAGCATCCAACTCTTGATTTCAGCTCAGGTCATGATCTCACGGTTGGTGAGTTCAAGTCCCACGTTGGGCTCTGCACTGAATTGAGGAGCCTGCTTGAGATTCTCTCTCTCTTTCTTTCTCTCTCTCTCTCTCTTCCACTTGCTCTCCCTCAAAAATAAACATTTGAAAAAAAATAAATAAAGTGTCACTTCGTAAAGAAAATTGGCTTCTACAACCATGCTACTTAACACATAATGGTAATCTAGCCTTTTATAATTTTTTTTAACCTGCCTCTTCTTTTTTTTTTTAGCTTTTTAAAAATGTTTTATTTATTTTTGAGAGAGCACAAGCAAGGGAGGGAAAGAGAGAGAGGAAGACAGAGGATTTGAAGTAGGCTCTGTGCTGACAACAGCGAGCCCGATGTGGGGCTTAAACTCACAAACTGTGAGATCATGACCTGAGCCGAAGTTTGACACTCAACTGACTGAGCCACCCAGGTGCCCCTACCTGCCGTCGTCTTCTTTCTGCACTAGGGATAGGCAGGCCTTCAGCTACATGAAGGACTGGAGAACTCATATTATTTGTAAGAAATTGAAAATAAAAAAAGCATCTCAGGATAGATTCAGTATCTTGCTATTTACCAACTTACATGGTTTTTGGAGTCATTTAAGAGTAACATTGTAAGCCATTCCAGGAGAGAAAACTGACAACTTGGACATGTTTGGGAACTTCCCTATAAGCATGGCTTATCAGAATTTCTTTAAGTGCTAAGTGTCAGCACAACAGGAGCTACCGTCAATTTAAATCTTTGTGTTTGTGTTGGAGAGGGAAGGATCCCTTGTGCTGGCTGCCCGCCTTGTTTCTAGTTCCCATAAATGTTTCAGTCCCCTTACCTTTCTCCCAGGATCCAGACTGAGTAAGAGAGTTGATTTCCTCTAATTGCCAACTGGGAAGCCACCTAAAGGAACTCTTTCTGGGAATAAATTTGACTTGTTACTAATCTTTAAACTAGATGTTTCTCAAGTTCAGATTGATTTTTAAATGCTCTGTATCTCTGTCTCTGTATCTATGACTACTTCTATATCTAGATCTAAAAACAATAGCAATTCTGAATAAGAATATAAGATGTGCTAAAAACGTTCCATTCATTGGGGCATGGGGCATTTCATAGTCTTCTACTGAAGTAACATTTTTTTATGGCTTTCGTAATCATGACTCTGTTTTACTTTGCATATATTATGTATGACATATTATTGCGTATTGATACATGTTTCACTCTAAGCATCAATTTAAACTGTGTTTTTTTTTTTTTTGAGATTAATGTAAGTCCAAAAAAAAGTTTGAAGTAAGATATATACACAATGTCAGGTTGCTAAACACAACTACTACCCTCATCAAGACCACCACCACTACCACAATAGTAAACCCCTTCCAATGAACCTAGTCAGGGAAATGAAGAGATAGGATATTTTGTAACAACTCAGTGAGAATTTATACCATGCTATAATCTTGCTATAATATATTACTTTTATTTAGGCGAACACAACAAATATTCAAGGTACTTGAACCAAAAATAAGAAAGGCTACCAATGGGTCTAGTGCCAGGAAGAAAACTTACTTTAATTATGTGTGTTATTAATAGGATGATGTAATTGTGTTTTGAAGAGGCCCCGTCTCTTTTCCTTTTCAAGTGATTGTATAACCTTTCTAAATTCACACACCAACCCCCCCTTTTCTCAAGCAAAAGAGGATTTTGAGTGATCTGGCTAGAGATAGCACCTGACACCTGGGAAAAAGACACATAGACCATTGCTTTTAAGATCCACCTATGATCAAAGTGCAAGGTCAATAGAAAGATAATGCAGAGGGGTGGAAATAGAATGGTCTTTAGAGGCAGATAGACCCGGGTTTGGATGACAACAATGCTACATATTAAATACTTGGACAAATGACGTACCTTGTTTGAATCTCAGTCCATTCACTTATACCAATTTTAGAGTATTAAATTGGAAATGATACATCTTTTGCTTAGGAGGTGATAGCAATGCTCAAAGTAATTGATGTGGATAAGCTCATTTGTCAGGCGGCATATTTTTCTGCAAGTGTGCTGTTTTTCTTACAATTCAGTGACTACTTAGACTGTGAAGACTTAAAGTTGATTGACTTTGGGAATCTGAATAACATCACATTTTGCTTTTAGTGTTCAGGTTTTCAATACGCAGGTTGCATTTTTTTTTTTATCACTTCACTGTGTGGTTAAGTAACATCTAGATATTTTCACGTTAGACGCCAAATAAAATATTTGTTCATGCTGGAAACCAAATGAAAAACGAAATTGTTTCACCTGGTGAAAATTAATCTTTATTTTTTGGGGGAGAAACTCCAGGCACAGTGGGAAAGATAGCAAATATGTGGATATCCTTGGCCTGGATGGATGAACAAGAGTTTACTAAGTGGACGAGGACAGGAAGAACCTGTCAGACAGGAAAACTTTAGGGAGGTGTTTTGAACAAACACACAGCTGTAAGGGGTCAAAAGTACGTGATAAATCTGTTTTGAGGAAACTAGACCAAGAAGTGAATTGACGCAAATGATCAGAGGTGAGCAAAGAAAGACTGGCTGAGAACTGTTTCAGTGGGGTGGCGGATGGCACCCTATGTGGTTTGGCCTGTGTTTCTCCAGACTTGGGGAGTTTTGGGACAGGAAAGTGACCTGGTCACTCTTCTGCTTTGGAAAGATGTCTCAAGTAGAAGAATGGACTTTGATAGAAGGATAGAGAAGTTAGAGTTAGAGAACCTCCATACTGGGGCACCTGGGTGGCTCAGTCAGTTGAGCACCAACTTCAGCTCAGGTCATGATCTCATGGTTGGTGAGTTCGAGCCCCATGTCAGGCTCTGCACTGATGGCTTAGAGCCTGGAGTCTGCTTCAGATTCTGTGTCTCCCTCTCCACCCCCCCCCTTCTTGTGCCCTGTCTGTCTTTCTCAAAAATAAAATAAACATAAAAAAAAATTTTAGAGAGCCTCCATACTACCGGGTGGTAACTACGTTGATCTCATTTTATAGGACAGGAAATGAAACTTCAAGAAGTTTAAGAGACTTAACCAATTTTTCTCACCTGACATGAAGGGTTGAGTCCAGGTTGTCTGACTCCAAAGACCAATGTGTTTCCTGAATCTTGTTTTATTGTTTCTAGGGCTGTGCTTCAGAAAAAGTGGGTAGGCTCAGATTAGAGTGACTTCCCTCCCCCATGCCAAAATCCTCACAATATACAATTTGTTTCTTGAGGTAGAGAGCACAATTCTAACTAACGAAGTCACAAA